CCGAACCGGGGCACGAACCCGTGTCCCCTGCATCGGCAGGTGGACTCTCAAACGCTGCGCCACCAGGGAAGCCCTCATTGGCATTTTTGATCTGTATTTAATCAATATTACCTTTTTATTCTCTCTGTCATGATACATTTATGACTATCACAACTACATGTATTGTAATTAGATGAATAAGTTTATAGTAGACAAAACTGTCTTTAAGTTCTATTTTGTCAATATTTAGGAAAGTTTCAAGCACAAAGAGGAATGTACACTCTAAACTGATTTATTATTTTTAAATTTTGAAATATTTTAACTGAGAACAGACTGCTGGTTAATGAAAGTTTACAAGTAGTCTGGAATGCAACAGTAATGGCTACACAAAGGAACTAGTTGGTACAAAATGTAAATTGGGGGAAAATATAACAGTTTTTCCTGTTGAAGATGATTTCTTCTTAAGTATCAGAGGCATCTGAGCTAAAAACAAAGACACGTGGGCTTCCCTGGTGGCGCAGTGGTTGAGAGTCTGCCTGCCAATGCAGGGGACACGGGTTCGTGCCCCAGTCTGGGAGGGTCCCACATGCCACGGAGCGGCTAGGCCCGTGAGCCATGGCCGCTGAGCCTGCACGTCCGGAGCCTGTGCTCCGCAACGGGAGAGGCCACAACAGTGAGAGGCCCGTGTACCGCAAAAAAAAAAAAAAAGACACGTGAAGTCCACACCTAAAGAAATAAAGTGAAAAAAATGATTCAGAGCAAAATCTGCTGCAAAGAAGGTGTAAAAAGCCTATTATCTGGCTTAAATTATATTCCATACTGTAAGTCCATACTGTGATTTTGGCAGTCTTGAATTTGAAAATAAATCTGTTTTAGGGGCTATTTTAAATGACTGTGTGCATACTGAACCTACTAATGTCCAGAGTATGTTTGAAATAAAGTTTTAGAAAGCTTAATAATACTTCAAAATGTAATATGAAGATTTTATTTATGCATGCATATTTGGTGTTTAATAAAATAAGGAAAAGCCTATGTAAAAGACTTGACATTTGCGGGCTTCCCAGGTGGCGCAGTGGTTGAGAGTCCGCCTGCCGATGCAGGGGACACGGGTTTGTGCCCCGGTCCGGGAAGATCCCACATGCCGCAGAGCAGCTGGGCCCGTGAGCTGTGGCCGCTGAGCCTGTGCGTCCGGAGCCTGTGCTCCGCAACGGGAGAGGCCACAACAGTGAGAGGCCAGCGTACCGCAAAAAAATAAAAAATAAAAAGACTTGACCTTTGCAAAGACACCAAGCATGGTTATAAAGAAAAAGATTGTGAGACTATTTTGAAACCAAAACAAGTATCTCACTCTTTGAAACATGAAGATTACCATTGAAGAAAATTCTGTGTAAATCATTTCAAATGAAGCACAGAAGGAAAAAAATTATAAATAATAATTTGTGAGTTATTGTTTTCCAAACGCAACAAGAACACCAAAACATACTGTTGGAATGAATGAGAAGAGGGAGAAAGGGATAAAAAGAGCACAGAAGTAAATGGTCCTTCCTTAGTCAGCTCACCAAGTCTTTTGCACATCAGTGAGGAGCCTGTCACAGTATCACTCAAACTCGCAAGGAGTCAGTTACTGAAGACGTAAAGCAGATGTATCATGACTGAGACACATCCTGAAGAGCTCATGCTTCCAAAGATCTGGGATGTTCTCAGAGCAGCTTTTATTGGCTTCATTTTGCTTTTCTTTCCAGTCCTATTAAAGGTATTGGTATTTAGGTAAGAGGATTCCTGGACTGGCTTATTATGATTTCAAAAGAGTTGACATGTAGGTTGTTGGCATTTCTGTCTACACTGGTTTGCACATTCTACTCCCAGCTTAAAAATGAAAAAGAGAAAGAAAGAGACAGAGACAGAGGGAGAAACAGACTTAAAATTCAATCACCAAGTGGTTGAAAGCAAACTTGAAAGCAAAATAAAGTCCATTCTCTTAAATACCTACTATGTGCATAAACCATCTATTAATTGATTCGTTGATTGCTTGAAACTGATACTCTATGTGTGAATTGTGGTGGTGGCCGTAATGCATCACCCAGATGCCCCTTCAATGAGGGACCTACTGCCCCAGCTGCTGGGGGTTCTGTCAGCAGATGCTTATTGCTGTCAGTCTCTTCAGGGACTGTCTTAGCTGCAGTGACCCCACCCAAGGTCACCTTTTCCCAGGACAACTGACATCTAATAATTTATTGATATGGGAGTATACGGGATTGGCCATCCTGGCTAAATGAGGAACAACTTTGAAGGGCCATTCTAGCTCCAGAGCTCCATCAGGGTCAACCATGACTGTCCCTGGGCTGCATCACAGCTTGACTTCTCCCTTCCATGGGTGTTGATCCCAAGGCACTCCTCAGTAAATACACCACACACCAAACTCAGTCTCAGAGTCTCCCTCCAGAAAGACCAAACATGTGATCATGTTAGATTCACATTTAAGTGCCCTTTATCTTACTAAACCAAATAATGTGAAAAATGTAAGTAAAGAACAGCCCATCTTTCCCTATAAAAATTGTCCAATATTCTTAAACTCATTGGCCACTCCAAGCTCCCAATGCCTCTGCTTTGTGTTTCTGTTTGGATAATATAACAGAGAAAGTCATTACTGTGACTGATTTAGTTAAAGTGGGAGAGAAAATGGTGATGCCTTTATCACTACCATTATAATAAAAGTTGTAAGTAATTTAATATAATACAGAAAGGGATGAATCACCCTGATATATATGGAAACCTACACTGGGGAGTTTCTGTATATACGGCCTCACTCAAGTTGAGCTATGCTGACCAAAAAATAAAGGAATTAATGAACCTAAATCCAATCTCCGAATTTGAGCTAATTAGGTGACAAGCACAAATCTGCATGCACAAGAAAGAGGGAGAGAGGAAGGAAGGAAGAAAGGAAGGGAGGGAGGGACGGGAGGAGAGGGGAGAGGAAGAGAGAGGGAGAGGAGGGGAGGAGGGAAGAAAACAAAGAAAAATAGAAGGGAGAAAAAGAAAAGAACTAAAAATTCTGATAAACTCAAATTTTCAAAAAAGTCATAAATTCAAATGCATATAGAATCAGAGAGTTGCTGTAAATGTATGACATGGAGGGGAATGTGAGATGCAATAGGGAATGGCAGGGACTGTGACAAAATAGAGACTGAAGGCCCCATCCAAAGGGAGCATCCACCTCTTAGCTCCAGTCTACTATTTCCTTGGAGAAAAATGAAGTTGGCAATGCCAAGCCTTCTAATTTTTTTTTGAGATACTAGAAATTCAAAATTTTTATGAAGATTTTTGATTTACAAAATGTTCTGCAAATCCAAACCAAACACCTTTGCAGGCCAGATATTATTGCTCAGAAGCTGCCAGTTTGCAACTCCTTTTAGAAGACCAATTATAGGGACTTCCCTGGTGGTCCAGTGGTAAACAATCTGCCTTCCAATGCAGGGGACGTGAGTATGATCCCTGGTCGGGGAACTAAGATTCCACATGCCGCAGGGCAACTAAGCCCGCGCCCCACAACTACTGAGCTCGCATGCCTCAGTGAGAGAGCCCACACGCTGCAATGAAAGATCCCTCATGCCTCAACGAAGATCCAACATGCCACAACTAAGACCTGACACGGCCAAAAAAAAAAAAAAAAAAGATCAATTATAATATAGTGGTGACCTTTTTGTCACATGTCTTAAGGTACATCCAAATAAATTTTTGTGAATATCATTATATTTTAAATCACAATAATCTCACTGTTTAACGGAAACATTATGAAAAATAAATGACAATAATTAATCTTAAAGATTTACCTATTTTATAAGCCCTTTTTAAAGGAAAAAGTCATGTTATAGTGGGATTACTTGGATAGACTAATCTGAAAAGAAGAAATTAAATTACATGTGACGGAAGTATAATATAAAATCTGCACAGTGTGTGTGTGTGCATGTGTATGGGGGGGTGGGGGCAGGGTAAGGGAATATTTAACAAACCAAAGTTTACCTTCTGCAGAGCATTTCCCGCATTCTCTCATTCTAGGTTTAACATCATCTCCAAAAATTCACTAACAACAACTCACCAATCTTGAACTAAAGCCAGATTATCTAATGACTTGAAGCAGCATAATATATTTCTTAAATTGAGATATAATTCACATATCATGAAATTCACCCTTTTAGAGTATAGAAGTCAGCGGTTTTCTGTATTTACAAAGTTGTGCAACCATCATCACTATCCAGTTCCGGAATATTTCATCACTCCCCCCAAAATTCATGCTTATTAGCAGCCACTCCCCATGTCCTCTGCTCCCAGCCCCTGTAAACAATCTACTTTCTGTCTCTATAGATTTGCCTATTCTGGACATTTCATGTAAATGAATTCATACAATATTTGTCCTTCTGTGTCTGGCTTCTTTCATTTAGCACAATTTTTCAGGGTTCATACATGTTGTAGCATTAATCAATACTTCACTCTTATTTATGACAGAATAATATTCCATTTTACAGACATACCACATTTTATTTATCCACTCATCAGCGGACAGATATTTGGATTGTTCCCACATTTTGGTTATTATCAATAACATGACTGTTTTTTTATGTACCTAAATTTTCATCTCTTGGTGTAGATTTTCTTAGGTCATATGGTAACCCTAAATTCAAATTTTTGAGAAACTGCCAGACTATTTTCCAAACTGACTGCACCATTTTACAATCTCACCAGCAGCATACGAGGGTTCTAATTTATTCACATCCTTACCAACACTTGTTATTGTTTTTATTAATTATTATTATTACAGTCATACTAATGGGTAGTGAGTAGAACCTCACGGTGGTTTTGATTTGCACTCTTCTAATGACTAATTATGTTGAACATCTTTTCTTGTGCTTAATGGCTATTCGTACATCTTTGGAGAAATGTTTATTCAAACCCTTTGCCAATATTTTAATGGGGTTGTCTTTTTATTGTTGAGTAATGTATTGTTTTAAATGAGAAAAACTGACCTTTTATTATCCTGTGAAGGGTCACACACGTGGACGGCCGTCTTGGTTACTTCTCTTGAGAGCAAGAAGATGCCCACTGTCCCATGATTCGCTATTACAGAATCTTTTTGAACTCCATCAAGCCTGGTACATCGTGTGAGACAGCTGGTGCGAGAAGTCAGTCATGGGGGATGTGGTAGATCCATTTCCAGAATGAGTCCAGAGGCTTTTAGGGTGGAGACTCCAAACCTGGTTTTGAAGGTAGAGGGAATTTTTAAGAATTTGATGTTTACACCTCAATTTCCCTGATCTTGGGATCATGACTGTTCATTTTACCTAATTCTCCTTGCATAATTCAACTTTCCTAACTAATGAGATTTGCTGTCAACCATTCTGTTTTCCTCTGATTTAAGAATAGCATTTAAGTGAACAAGGGAAGGTATTCATGAGTCCTACATCCTGCAAAGGAGGTGCTGCTAATTATATTCCACTATCTTTTAGTTATAATCTGTTATAGGAAAAGTGCTACCATAGCCAAAGTACCAATCATCACAATTTCATCAAGTATGACACACAGATTACAATGGTCCCTCTTTGTTAAGAATGCTGTACATTTTCTATAGCCTTTCACACTTCACTGGTAAATATCTCAGGTGTACAGGTAAAGGGAACAGAAAGCAAGATGAAACAGTGCTAGATTGCCAAGGCTGATTTGTGCTTAGTGAGAGCAGAACTCCCCTGAAGTATTAAGATATGCCCACAGCTTTGGGATGAACTTATCTAAAGGTCACTTTAATTTGCCTTTTATTTTCAGTGACTAAGTGGGGCACTAATTGCTTTCTGTTAGCCCCTTAAATTCACCTTCCTTGCTGAAATTGATTTTAGGCATCCATTTGCTGCTGACACTTATGGGTTCAATGGATACAATCTAGGCCACATGTTCCCAGAAAATGAGCCTGAGTATGTCTAACACACAAAGATTTCAGGAAGAAAGTGACGAGCCTCCAAGTTGGTGAACTCAGAGATCTCACCACTTATTTAACAGACTCCAGGACAGTAATGATTTTCTAAAGGTTTGGTTGAACATTCTGAACCTTCCAAAAATATCAATAATAGACAGTGTATCAGGATGTTTCACAGCTTTACCAAAATTCCCATATATTAGTATTCCAGTGAACCTAGTGAAACATTTCAGGATATTTCTACTTATGCACAGAGGAACCCAGCTCATGGAGGTGACCCCAGTGCAAGCAAAACCAAAATTCTCTGTCAAACCTGGTGAGTGGTTCTCCAGTGAGCACCAACTACCTTGGGGATCATCAAAATCTGCGTTTAGGGCTTCCCTGGTGGCGCAGTGGTTGAGAGTCCGCCTGCCGATGCAGGGGACACTGGTTCGTGCCCCTGTCCAGTAAGGTCCCACATGCCGCGGAGCGGCTGGGCCCGTGAGCCATGGCCGCTGAGCCTGTGCGTCCGGAGCCTGTGCTCCGCAACGAGAGAGGCCGCAACAGTGAGAGGCCCGCGTACCGAAAAACAAAAAAAATCTGCGTTTAAACAGGGACCATTGCTATGATTTTCCAAGCAGTAGTTTGGGCATATAACAAACACAGAAGTTCAAGAAAGGGTCATGCTTGGCTGTTTGTGGTTTCAAGATCAGTAGAGTACTAGCACTCTTCACTGGTGACGTAGAAGGTAACACAGTTCAATCTCTCTGCTTTGGACTGTCTAGCACATTTCCATGTGATGGGGCCTGATCTCACAGGTGGTTAGGTATAGGACTAAGCAATTAGCATGAACCAATTCTGCTGTAATTCCTTCAGGATGCACCAAATGTCCCCCTTTTTACTGTTTTTGAATGGGGGAGGATAGTTATTAAGAATTAGCCTTTGCCTACTTTGGGGTACCTCACTGGTATATGACACAAATTAGCACATGCCCACTGTTTTAAAAGTAAACTCACTCAGCTCCTCTGAATGGTATTTTTCACACCTAAATTTTGTATAACAACACAGACCTTGAAATATAACTCAGTGTACAGCAGTGGTCCCAAAATTGTGGGCTCTTCACACAATCCCAGTTGTTTATATTTGTGCTCCATTCATAGACAACTTTTCTCAGACTTGCACGTTTCTCTTGCTATGGAGCCAGGTCTTCCATTTCACTGGTGCTCTGCTCAATCTGGATATTCTGTTTTTGAAGGCAAACATGCCTCCAAACTCTGGAGACTTGGAATCTACTACCTGCTGGGATCCATGGTATTACTTTCTGATGTTACTGTTTAGCAGTGGTTCTTGATAAACCATACTCAGAGGGTCCTAGTCTTGAAGGGATTGAGCATATATATGAGATTGGACATCCCAAACACGTCTCCCTGAGGTTGTCTATTATTCCCATATACCCATATGCCATGGATGACACAAAGGACATTAATATTGGTTACCACATCCTAAGTTGAATACAGCAATATTCCAGAAATAAGCAAAGCTTCAAGGTAGTGTCCTCAGTGTGCTGTCGCTGGAACCTCAGATACAATGACTTACAGGGTCACTGCTTTAGTGTCTATCATAATAAAATGAGGACTTCTGGTGAATCCTACAGTTTTGATTCCACCTCCTTCTTCTGTAGGGGAGTATTAAGTGTTTCAGTTTGTTCTCTAAACTTTACTTGGGACATTCATATGCTATTGCTCATGGTATAACAAAATGTATGGTTTGCATCAGAAAAAGAATACGAGCATTTGGGCTGTTTCAGACTAGGCTTAAAGCTTTGTAAGGGATGATTCTCTTGCACTTGCCTTGTGCACATTCAAAGGTGGCGTGTCACAGGGGAGACCAGAGAAGGCAGCCCAGTTTGAGTTGTTATTGTTGTTTTAATACAAAACCATCTCTTGGCTCTTTTTCCTCTTTAAATAACTTCTTATTTCTAATTTTAAAAATACTATATACATATCAAATATTAGAAAACCTAAAAGAGAAAAAAATGAAATAATACTCAGAATTTCACATGCCAAGGGAACTACTTTAAACACTTTAAAGTATGTTCTTCTGGACACTTTCCTAACATATTTAACGGCTGGATAGAATTCTATTTTATGCATACCAGAAATAAGTATATTGGTTACAAAGGGAGGCAGGCTCTCTGGAATCAAATCTTGATCCTACCCTTTACCTAAATCTTTGGCCAGATACTTCACTTATCTATGTGGCAGTTTCCTCATCCACAAAATAAGGGTTATAATAGTTCTTACCACTATTGTTAGAACTGTAGGATTGCTGCATGTATTAAATGCATTAATATATGTAAAGTATTTAGAATATTGCTGACACATAATAAATATAACTCTCATTATCTTTGTTATTACTATTATTGTTTTACATTCAAATTTATAGTTTTCCTCTCTTATAAACATTACTAAAATAAACTTCCTAGAAGTTAAATCTTGAGCACATCATTTTTAGGGGGAGGGGACATGGGAGTTCCAGTGGGAAATAAACATAATTGACATTGGTTCAAAGATAATTTAATCCAAAATTTGCAATTTCAAAAGCCTATAGGGACCAGGCGAGTACATAAATGTTTGAATCAGACTTAAGACAATAAGGAATCGTGGGGCCAGTGTCTGAACTGGCCATCTTAAAGGAATTAAGATTAAGAAATTTAATACAACCCACTGCCCCAGAAAACCAAACCAAACCAAAACATGCAGCCTGTGGGCTTCAAGTGTTCCTCAGGCCACCGATAGGCAATTTCTGATCTGTTCTACAGCCTCATTTTTTAAAATTTCATTGAGATATAACTGCCATATTGTACTAGTTTTATGTGTATGACACCTAAATGATCTATGTATATGTTATAAAATGATCACCACAATAAGTTTAGTTAACATCCATCACCACATATAGTTACAATTTTTTTCCCTGTGATGAGAACTTTTAAGATCTACTTTCTTAGCAACTTTTAAATGGACAATACAGTTGAGTGCATCCTTATGTCCTTAGGATAGATTCCTAGGAGTTAAACTGCTGGCTCTACAGCATATTTTTAATGCTTTAGATACATATTACCAACATTCTTTCCCTAAAGTTGGTACCTCTTGATGTTTTCAAGACCGGTAATCTGAGTGTCCATTTTTTTTTTTTTTTTTTTTTATGTTTCAGTACGCGGGCCTCTCACTGTTGTGGCCTCTCCTGTTGCGGAGCACAGGCTCTGGACGCGCAGGCTCAGCGGCCATGGCTCACGGGCCCAGCCGCTCCGCAGCATGTGGGATCCTCCCGGACCGGGGCATGAACCTGTGTCCCCTGTATCGGCAGGCGGACTCTCAACCACTGCACCACCAGGGAAGCCCCATGATGACTTTTAAATTTATAATTTCAAAATTTTTGACAGAGACCAAAAAGAAACATATCTTATTGTAAATTTAATATATATTTTTTATTACTGTTTAACACTGTACTCTTGGCACTTAGAATGTCTGACACAATGTAGATGATTGATAAGGCACAAAAATGTATGTTTGAGCTTACTGAATATATGCATGTATATATATGCTCATGTTTACATACACCCACACACACACACACACATATACAGAGTACATGAATTGTCAATTTTCATGACTCTTTTTAGCAGTGGACCTGCCAGAACTTTAGAGCACCAGCTGAGCAGCTCTAGCTTCAGCAGAGGAAACAACTTACTCAGAATTATTCATAAATAGCTGCCATTAACCTACTTACTGTTTTTATGAATGTAGCTTTGTATAAATGTTTGTGTCTTGCCCTGTGGTTCATAACAACATCTGTGTCCATTACCACTGGAGTTCCACACTGAAAAATATGTTACCTTGCCTATATCTAAGTCCCACACAGCACTTAACTTCTTGTATAATCTTAGGCAAGTAAAGTATTTCCTTGGAATTTCCATTTTCCTATCTGTAAATGAGGAAAACAACATTTGACCCACCTAGGTCACAGGGTTGCTGTGAAATGAAAGAATCTTGGGAAAGTGTGAACTGCTTTAGAAATGTAGAAGAGCATCCCTAGGGTCACTAATTATCTTTGCATATTGCTTCATTTAAGGGCAGCGACAAAGTCAGATACCTTCTCTTCCAAATTGCCTATCGCTGGCCAGGCATCAAGTGTTAAAAAAAATAATAACATTGAATTGGGGACTTCCCTGATGGTCCAGTGGGTAAGACTTTGTGCTCCCAATGCAGGGAGCCCAGGTTCGATCCCTGGTCAGGGAATTAAATCCCA